CCAGGCTGGCCTCGAACTCACAGAGATCCACCTGGCTCTGCCTCCCGAGTGCTGGCATTAAAGGCATGCGCCACCACTGCCGGGCTTGGAGTGCATTTTTATAGTTGTTGTTTTGTTTGCTTACATGTATCTAGTGTGTGTGTGTGTGTGTGTGTGTGTGTGTGTGTGTGTGTGTGTGTGCACATGCATGCCACACCACGTGTATGAATGTTGGTAAGAGGACAGCTTGCAAAAGGGGTTTTTCTCCTCCCTTCATGTGTGTCCTGGGGTTCAGACTTGAGGCGTCAGGCTTGGGAAGCAAGTGCCTTTACCCACCGAACCATTTCACCCCTCCCTGGCTTCTTAACGGCAGAATGAACCCAGGAGCACAGTGTGGTCCAACCACACATCATCTGAGCAGTGTCCGGTGACAGACACTCAAATTCTTTCCAGTTTCAACTCTGACATGTACGGTTTGCTTGTAATGATCTCCACAAATGTTCCCTTTCTCCTCTCTCTGGGGGAAAGATGAGAACGACATCAGTTTCCAGAAAGATGAACTCATCTCCCAGAATGACTTCGCATTCCTAAGTTTGTATTTCAGCCAAGTATAAGAAAACACGCTGGGCCTGTCTAGGCCTGACTCCTGCAAATTCACTATCAGGTACTCGGCCTCCATATGAGTACAGAAGCATAACCCCCCAACACACACACACACACACACACACACACACACACACACACACACACACACACAGAGAGAGAGAGAGAGAGACAGAGAGAGACAGACAGACAGAGATGAATGTACAAATCTTTTTAAAAAGAAACCTATTTTATTTCTTCAACTCCATTGTTACTAGAATGCTATCTCACCCAGATAGCAGGTGACCATCCATTTCTTTTTTCTCCTAACCATCTTCAGTGATTTTATTTTACGTTTACCACTTGGTCTCTTTTGTCCTTTCAATAAGACATCAAGACTGTTATTTATGTCTCCTCACTGTCACTGGGAAGCCTCGGAGTGCTGGCTGTTTCTGTGTTAACTTGACACAGGCTGGAGTCATTGGAGAGGGGGCCTCAACTGAGAAAATGCCTCCACAGAAAGCAGCCTGTAAGGCATTTTTTAAAATTAATAATTTATATGGGAAAGCCCAGCCCATGGTGGGTGGGTTCTATAAGAAAGCAGGCTGAACAAGCCATGATGAAGAAGCCAGTAAGCAGCACCCTCCATGGCCTCTGCATCAGCTCCTGCCTCCAGGTTCCTGCCCTGCTTGAGTTCCTGTCCTGACTTCTTGGGTGATGAAAAGTGATGATGAAGCGTGAGCCACATAAACCCTTCCTCCCCAACTTGCTTTGGTCGTGGTGTGTCACCACAGCCATAGGATCCCCGACTAAGACTCTAGGCCCTTGATGTACAGTGCTTTTCCTATCGTTATCTTTGGGTAGATGGCTCTGTTTTAGGGCCCTGTTCTTTGGGTAGATCTATTCATTCCTATACAGGA